GTCCCAAACAAGACGAACCCAAAGAGGTCCACACCAAAACACATCATAATTAAAATGCCAAAGGTTAAAGACAAAGAGAGAATCTTAAAAGCAGCAAGAGAAAAGCAGTTAGTTACCTACAAGGGAGCTCCCATAAGACTGTCAGCTGATTTCTCAACAGAAACTCTATAGGCCAAGAAGGTGTGGTATGAAATACTCAAAGTGATGAAAAGCAAGGACCTGCAACCATGATCACTCTACCCAGCAAAGCTATCATTTAGAATCAAAGGACAGATACAGACATTCTCAGACAAGAAAAAGTTAATGGATTCATCACCACCAAACCAATATAAGGAATCTTAGAGGGACTTGTTTAAGAAGAAGAAAACGATCAACAATGTGAATAATAAAATGGCAATAACTACTTATCAATCAATAATTACTCTCAACATAAATGGCTTAAATGCTCCAATCAGAAGATAGCATGGCTGAGTGGGTAAGAAAACAAGACTCTTACACATACTGCCTACAAGAGACTCACTTCAGATTGAAAGACACACACAGACTGAAAGTAAAGAGAAGGAAAAAGATATTTCATGAAAATGGAAACAAATGAAAAAAAGCTGGGGGTAGCAAAACTTATACTACACAATATAGACAAAATAAAACAAAGGTTATAACAAGAGACAAAGAAGAACCAAGTAATCCCACTTCTGGGTATTTTCCTGAAGAAACCCAAAATGCTACTTTGAGGGGATGTGTGCATTTATATGTTTATTTACAGCATTGTTTACAATAGCCAAGATATGGAGGCAACCTGGGTGCACCTTAATGGATGAATGGATAAAGAAGAGCTGGTACATATATACAATGGGCTATTACTCAGCTATAAAAAAGAATGAAATCTTGCCATTTACAACAACATGAATGGACCTAGAAGGTATTGTACTGAGTGTAGTAAGTCAGATAGAGAAAGACAAATGTCATATGATTCCACTTATAAGTAGTATTTAAAGAACAACAAAAAAAAAACCAAACAAATGAAACCGAAACAAACTCATAGATATATAGAACATTTCAACTGTTGCCAGTTGGGAGGGTAGTTGGGGGTGGGTGAAAAAGGGGAAGGGATTAAGAAATACAAATTGGCTGTTACACAGTAGTCATGGGGATGTAGTGTATAGCATAGGGAATATAGTCAATAATAGAATAACTATGTATAGAGTCAGATGGCACTAGATTTTGGGGGTGATAGATGGGAAGGGGATTGGGAGGTAGGCTGAAATAGGTGAAGGGATTAAGAACCACAAATTGATAGTTATAAAATAGTCATGGGGATGTAAATTAAAGCATAGGGAATATAGTCAATAATATGTTAATAACCATATATAGTACAAGGTGGGTACTAGACGGTCAGGGGGATCACTTCTTAAATTATATAAGTGTCTAACCACTATGCTATACACCTATATTATTTTATATTAATAAAATATATGAACTGTAATTGCAATGAATTGAAATAAAATGAATGAACTGTAATTGGAAAATTTAAAAGGGGGAAAAAAGGTGAAGGGGAATAAGAGGTTCAAATTTCCAGGTATAAAACAAATAAGTCATGCGGATGTAATGTAAAGCATAGGGAATAGTCAATAATATTGTGATAGTGTGGTATGGTGTCATATATAAATGTTGAATAACTATGGTGTACACCTGAAACTAATATAATATTGTATGTTAGCTATATTTTAATAAAAATCTTAAATAAAAAAAATAAAAATAAAATCTTTATATTTATTATTGATATATAATATATAAGATATATATTTTATATGTATATATATATATATATATATACATATATTTACTGGGAATAGAATTCTAAGCAGGCAATTGTTTTCTTTCAGCATATTGACAACATTATGTTACTGTCTTCTGATGTCCATTAGTGATTTTTAGAAGTCAGCTATCAGTTTAACTTCATGTCTTAGAAGGTAATACATCCTTTTCCCTATGGCTGCTTTTAGCATATGGTATATATACATTTCAGTTTCTTTGGGTTCTTATGGTTTTACTATGATGTATCTGAGAGTGCTGTGTAGATATACTGTGTAGAAACTAGTTTGATGTCTTTCATTAGTTCTGAATATTCTCAGCTATTACATCTTAAATCATTACCTTTGACTCTCTCTGCTCTTCATATGAGAGTCTCTCTCTCTTCTTCAAACACAGTAAGGTGGTTTTATAATTTGTGGCTAATAATTACAACAGACATTATCTCCAGTGCTTATGGGCCTACTTGAATTGTCTGTTGTTTCTGCTGGTTCTTGCTCAATATGTTTTGTTTCCCTGTAGGACTGGCAACGTTTGACATTGTGGTGGACATTATATTTTAAATATTATTTCTAACAATTATTTGGCACTTAGCGTAATAGCATCTTATTCCAAAGAGATTTTCATTTGCCTTAGCCCTGAGGTTTTACCAGTCAGGATCCATCTCAAACCAAGTTCAAGGCTTGACGTTCCCTGGACCACCCAGATGCCCCAAAGCCAGAAGGAAATTCTTGGCAGGGATTGATTTACAGGTGATTCACCTCACCTGAAGCTGTAACTCTTTGGGATCCCGGTTTAAAGTAGAGGTGGTTGATTAGAATCCCTACTCCTGGTGGGTTGCAGGTCTTGCCTTTTGCCCACTGGTCCCAGGAATTTGTTGAAAGTATAGCTCAGTCTTACAGTTGTTTGTTTAGGATTGGCACTGCCCTTAAGGCCAAATCAGATTTGAATATCAGTCTTGTTCTCTGGGTTCTCCTCTTTTAGATTTTGGCTTTTAAACTCCTCACTACCTTGTTAACATTTTGATGCTTCTAAGAAGATTGGTTTTTTCTTTTTTAATATTTCACCTAGTTCTTGAGGTTTTCTTAGTGGGAGGGTTGTTCTGAATTTCCTAGTCACCAATTACTGGGAGTAGAAGTTACAATTTATCTATTCATCAGAGGAAAGGAAATTTTTCATAGTCTTCTATTTCTACTTAATATTTATCAATTGTTAGTCTCTATAAGGTGCTTTACATATGTCAAGGATATAATATATCCCATAGAACCAAAACTTATTACATGGCACTCATCAAACCCTTCTAAAGAACCCAATCTGGCATGATATGAAATAGTTCGTAAGACAATTTTAAGTCATGACTACTTCTGGCTTTTGGGATTCAGTATAATAAACTTGTACTCCATTAATTCATAAAAATATAATGGAAGATCCAGTGATCCATATATAACATATACATAATAGCATATTCTGCTAAGGGCATGTGCTCTTCCAACTATCTTAGCCTCTTTTAGATGTTTTCTCTATCCTCATCTTCTCGTTGAGGCTTTCCCTAAACATCCTATTTGAAATCGCAAACTCCCCCTCATTTCCACACTTCTTAATCTCCTCCAATCATTCTCTTTTCTCCATCATCCTCCATCATCATACATACAATATATTATGTATCCTGGCTCTATTTATCAGTCCTTCTCCAATCTTGATAAATCTTCTTAACCTCAATTCCTTGCTTTCTCTAGATATAAAATAGGATTAAGAAAATTATCCCACCATTCCTCATGTGAATATTTCACAGATAGGTGTGGTGCTAGATCAGAAAGTGATTCTAAAAAAATTTTTTTTTTAAAGAACCGACTGAAAATTCTAGAACTGGAAGTTACAATATCTGAAAATCTTTACTGGTTGGGTTTAACAGTAAAATAGAGAGAATAGGAGAAAAAAAAATCAGTGAACTTTAATAGTTCAATATAAATGATCCAATATTAAGAAGAGAGAGAAGAGAGATTGAGAAAAGTGAGTGGATCCTCAGAAACCTGTAGAAAATATCAAAAGGTCTAATATATGTTTATATGTAATTGAAGTCACTGAAGAAGTAAGAAAATGGGGCAGCAAAGAATATTTGAAAAAAGAACAGATAAAATTTGGAGAAAGAGTTAAATTTACAGATTTAGGAAGGAGAGCAAACCCCACACAGAATAGATTCAAACACACACACACACACACACACACACACACACACACACACACACAC